GTGCGTGCCAACGGCAACATGTCCTTAAAGCCAAGCCAAATGAGAATAAGAACAAAATTTATGGCGTCAACACCCACACGACTCGCCAAAGCCTTCATTATGCCAACAACACCATTTTGGTCACAATATGTTCGCTTCATGACGTTATATGTGAGTGTGTATGTGGTGTGTGTGTTTGTGTGTGTGAGAGCTGAGACATTTCTTATACAATTTCATGAAAAAGTAACCATAAATTCCACACCAACATAGTGCCAACGACAGAAGCTCTGGCACTCTATTCGCCGTCTCCGTAAATTATGTGGCTGCCTGCTCATAACGTCTGCCTGGTCACATAATCCTCATGTATGGATGCCAGCTGAGGTCCTTGGCAGGTGCCCCTTGCGCCTGTCAAAGTTGAAAATTTGTCGCTTGGTGTGCAGAACTGTGCAAAAATGTGTCACTGGGCGTCAATGTTGACTGCGTGACTGTCTGACCTGGTCGCCCCTTTTTCCTTTCTAAATAAGGTATATAGCTGCGAAGTATGTTGCACATATATGAATAGGTGTGTATGTATGTGTGTGGGTGTGGCCATGGCTGTTTATTGTCCTAAAAAGCTCCACATTAGGGCCATAGATTAAGTTTCAAATTTGCGAATGTTTGCGCATTTTCTTGATTGGTACTACACATATTTATTAGTTGCACTAATTAGATTATCAGCGAAGGGCGTGCTTGGCGTTTATATTGCAGTTGAGCTAAAAAATAAGCTAAGAGTGTTGCTCATCTGTTCGCTGAGAAGCTTAAGGCGTGAACAACTCTGCTGCAGCCTAAATATCCTTCACGCTAACTGGGCTTTAATGTAATCAGAAAAATATTGTAACACCTTTACTTGGAGCGCCACAACTGGCAGCTGCAGGGTAAATTAGTTGGTTTTCATTCAATCCTTTTGAAAATAATTTGGTTAACCAACTTAGTTTCTGATAAATCAAGCAGAAATAACTGAAACATAATAATGATACGTTTTAAATTTAACTTTGAATCTATTTGTTGACTGAACAATTAAAATAGTTTTACAAATATTTAAATTTTACTCGAGTACATTTCTTTTATTACAAACATTAAATTCGCTTTAAAAATTATTCTTTTTGTATAGGAAAATATTAGTTGGGTATTAAAAGGGATTAATATTGCATTCAGCTTATTTATTTAATGGACAGAAGTTTTGAACTAAACCAGAAAAGTGTTAACTTGCCAAGAGTTTAGTTCAAATCTATCAGTTGATATGAAATATTATTATACATATTATGAAATATATTATTTGGACAGAACAAATATATACATTTGATGAATGAACGAAATTATTTTAATGATTGTTGAAAGTATAGAACACTTCTAATTCAATATACTTCAATATACATACATGCTTGTATTATACTTTGCAGGAATAAGTTTTTCTTCTGATTCTAGCTTTTTCGATTATAAAAATCCAAGTTATAAGCAAAGAGAATAAGCCCTCATTATTTCCAAAGAATGCTAAAGTTGCTTCTTAATAAATGGTTTAAGTTAAATTAAATTCCATATCTAACGGCTTCAACTAAAAGCCATTCCATTAGCTACAGGAAGAACAAGCGTAATTATGTTTACATTATTTCGAAAGGCAAATCAAATATTTTTATAATATCATGCTAGAATTGTTTCTTAATAACTGGTTTACATAAAGGCTGTTTAGCTTGCAAATCCAATTAAATTCCACATTTAAAGCCTTCAACGAAAAACCATGCACCAGCATGAGCATTGCGTTAGCTACAGAAACAACGAGGGTAAATATATTTACAGCATGGTAAATAAATTTCGCTTTTAATTTTCAATATTTTTGCAAACACAAAAGCGCAAAGCGCAGAGGCAGTGCCAGAGGTAGGGCGGAGAAGGGCAGGGAGACAGAACACAACACACAGCAAGCCGCAATGCTATCAATTTCAATTTATGCGCAACAACAGCCACGCAGAGTGAGAGAGCGCGAAAGAGTGATGGAGAGAGAAGAGAGGAGAGCAAACATGGCCTACTTAAGAGCGTCGCCCCCGCTGGCAACGCTGCACGAGAGGGCAAGTGTGCGTCTCATGTCTATATTTATCTGCCGCGCATGCAAGACCTGTTGTTGTTACTTTCCATTGCATACCGACAGGCGGAAATTTAATTGATTGCACACAGCTCGCAGTACGCCCGAGAGGGCATGCACTCAGCGAAAATCTAGGTAGATTGACGAATTTGCAGTGAAGGTATGTTGTTGCTTAAATTGAACTAATTTTTAAAAATTAATTATAAAATTAAATAATACTTATCTTTGTCTTTTTAATATAAAAAAAAAGGTATAAAGTGTATAAAGCAGCTCATAACCCCTTGAAAACGTCAGCTACTATAGCTTAAAAACTTTTATGTTGTAAGACTATTTAAAAGCAAAAAAAAGTTTCTTGAAGGCTAATAAAAAAAAGTTTGTTGAAGTCTAATAAAAAAAGGAAATTATAGAAAATTATTATTCACTAATTAACGTTTTTAAAATTGAAAAAAGGACAGCAGCTTTTTATACTTAATACTAGCAGCCGAATTCAATTTTTCTGTTTACGATTGCAGAGAGAATCCGTGGGATATTTCTAGCATATATAGTGATCGAGCTAGATAGCTTTATTTTTGATAACCGAAGTCCAGCAAGAAGCTTATGGTGTGTAAGAACTGTATGCTTGAACTTTCCCCTAACAAGCTTAAGCATTGAAAAACCGTTTAATAGTTGTTTGAAATTGGAAAAATAATATCTTATTCAATTACTTACATTGATGTAAAAAATATTATATGTACCATATTACAGGCCAATAATTGACTTTTTTATTTTTAAAAAATATCATTTAATTTCTGGAAATGGCTGTTTAATATTTGTTGTACAAAAATTCTACTTTTGTAAAGCTCTGATATCTTATATAGTATGGATCAAACTCTTCTTCTTAAACTCACATAATTCACATTTAGTTCTATTGACAAAAATGAATTCGTATCGATGTCGAATATCTTTTTAAACACATTACTTATGTCTTTAGAATATTATTTTATATTCTAGCGCATATCATTTTCATTCTATTATTTCTATAAAACGTTGATATTTTGTTGTATGTATGGTATTTATGCAAATTGAAACTCCAAACTTAAAGTTTTTCTCTGTGTGTAAAAGTGCGGCAACTGAAAGTGTGGGCCGTCAGGTGTTGATTGTTGCAACGTTGCAAATCGTTGACTGCATATGTCAAAGTTTAGACACTATCGCAAATATGGCTGGGCGCACGCGATGTAAATGCAACCGCCAATTCTGTGGGCACACTCACACACACACACACCAGCCGAATTAAAGTTTTGAAGGTCGACTTTAACTAGAGCCTGCTTTTAGCCGTCGCCCCGATTTTTGGTGCACTTCTGACATTTCCGTTGTTTGCTGTGTTTTCGACTAATTCGTCTTAATTACATTGCAAGTTTTGATTTCACCTTAAACAGTGCTGGTGCCTTGGCACAATTACAGTTGACATTTTTTTTGTTATGCTGCCTTCTAATTTCAAAATCGTTTAGAGCACGCCATCTGAGAAGCGTGCCGCTAATTGTAGGAAAAGCACCAATCGATAATCTTAGCGAAAAAGACAGAGATCGTCGAGGTCTGAGTGGCAAAGGCGGCGCATTAAAAGGTTTCTGTTGTCTAGCAAAAGTTAATTAATTATTTCTCTAACTTAATTAGCCGCAAAATGGTTTTTAAGTGCTTAGCCAGGCGATTTTGTGTTTTTGCCTGCCTTCGAAAACTTTTCCAATGCAGCCTTATACGAAGGAAGTGTACAAGTATATAAGGATGGCTTGAAAATGTTACTGCATTGACAACGCAAATAGAGGCAAGTTTAAAGTTTGTTTTGAACGAGTAAACAAATTGTACAAACTTTTATGTAATTAATTTCACTTGCACGCAATTTAATTTGCTTGTTTCTGTACAGGTATATAACAAAGGGCCCTTGGCATTTCCATGTGCTTCGGTAGTCCGTAAAGAACAGGCTTTAGGTTTGACACAGTCATGGTTTAATTTTAGGAGGTATATTCTGTAGAAGAAATAGTGCTAGAAATTGCTTTTTCTATGTCTTGAATCATGAAAAAATTGGCAACAAATATTACTGAATATTTATAAAAATCATACCAGCAATTTAAAAGATTTCAGAAAGCTAGCTGTATTAAAAGTTTTAGCCCAACTAAGTATAACTACAACTACTTGAGAGCTAATTTAATGTGCCGCTTATGCAGACTCGTATAAGTGGGCTATAAAACTAAATATCGCCCATTTGTTGTATCATAAATTCTAGCCATTAATAAGCCATTTATATGCATGTGTGCGATCAATAAAGCAATTAAAAACTGCCATGATGGAATTATGACAACCACTTGGAAAACAAAACAACTGCAAATAATAGGCTAAAGAATTCTGAAACATGCAGACTTGGTACAGAATTAATCGCAGGCACGACGTAAATATCTTGTCAAGCAAATTAGAAAAACATTTCCCCTTTTTTGTTGGCTATTTTTATCAAATGCCCAAAAAAGTAGGCAAGAATAGGCACATGTGTGAGCCCGAAGACGCAACAGAAAAAGGAATCCAACGTTATGCGTGCCAAGCACTTAACCGGTATAAAAAAAACAACAACAACAACTCCTATAATATGAATGGTTTATGTGGGCTAAGCACGCAAGTTAAAAGCTCGTGAATAAAAATAATTGCCAGGGAATTGGCCTAGGAAAGCCGTCACGTTATTACAAATGCGGCTTATATGTCTTTTTAATTTGGCTAACGCAACTGGCGAAAAGCGTTGCCAAGCTCGTTAACCTTCCACATACTCGTACATATGTATATACATATATTCATATATAATTCAAGTTTCCTTACAAGACAAATGTCATTTCTATACCCAACGGATTGTGAATTTGTGAAATAGAATCAATTTCCTAGCTCTACTCACCTCATCAATTCGAATGTTATGCACAAATGTTTACGAAAATATGTATAATCCAACATATGTATAACGTTATGAGATCCATCCGCATCCTTGTCACGCAGCTCATCCAAAATATTAAGCTCAACCACAGCCTGATTGAGGAAGCGCTTCTTATTGCGTATTATCTTGATGGCCACATGTGTATTGGTCTTGTGATCCAGAGCCCTTATTACCTGACCAAAGCTGCCCTTGCCAATCACCTCGAGTATTTCGTAGCGGAAAGCGATATGATCGTGTTCGATCTGCAATTGGAATAAGTATTAAATAAATAATGAATGATTGTCAATTAGAGTGTTAACTTACGATCTTGTAATTGCCATTATCGTCGTCATAGCCCGAATTTGCAGAATTCGCTGTCGCTGCGGGCTTATTATAATTCTTGCTGGCGTGCTGGCCAAAATACCAGACCTCTTTGTAGACTTTCAACTCCTCGAACTCCAGATCAGTTAAATAGTCGCGGTATTTCTTCACAAGCTCTAAATGACAGTACGCCGAATGGACCATTGTTTTGAAAATGAATGAAAAAAGTGTAAACAACATGTTAGCAATAGCTGTAACAGTAAAAACAACAACAAAAAGAACGCATGTATTTTATTTTTTGTGTTTTAACAATGTGAACGAGTTTCAAAAACGTGTCTGTTTGTAAAAAATGCTCAAGTAGTTGTAGATTTTCTATTCTTAAACATTTGTAATATTTCTTTTCAAGTGACAGTAAAGTGCTTAAAGCAAAGAAAATAGTTCTACATAAGTCTGCTATTATTGTTATATTTTAAGTGAAAATCTGTCCTGCCCTGACAGGCTCGGCCTTGACCTTTTCCGCCATCATGGTATTTGTGTTTGGAAATGTATATAAAAATTAATTAGCACTTCAGCACAGAATGCAGAAATGTGTGCAAAAACCAGCTCCCCAACGTGCTAAAAAGTACAACCGTAGTCAGCTGCGCTAATTGGTAGCATAAATTGGCATTGGGCGCCAACGAAGCGCATTACACTTGACCCAACCCTTGAATGTAAAGCACCTACAAAGCTGTCGAGGCAAGCCGACAATCCTATCTCCCTATTATCCGAGCAAGGAACCAAATTAAAAAATGTCATTTATCAATAAAATGAAAGAAAATCAAAGCAGAACTTAAATTCAACTAAAATAGCAGAGAAATAATCTTAGAACCCCACCTTATAGATTAAAATTAGGAGTTTAAACATGAATTTAAAATATTTATTCATATGGTAGGTCAGACAGGCAAATATTTTAAATACAAATTTGAAAGTAATCAAAATAAAAAATAGCATTTATATATAAATTGAAAGAAAATCCAAACAGAACTTAAATGGAATTAAAATAGCAGAGAAATGCTCGTAGAACCCCAACTCATTGAAGAAAATTAGGATGAAATATTATTACATATCGGTCGGTCAGACAGGCAAATATTTTGAACACGAATTTGAAAGAAATCAAAATAAAAAATAGCATTTATAATTCAAATGAAAGAAAATCAAAGCAGAAATTAAATGGAACTAAATTAGCTTAGAAATATTCGTAGAACCCCAACGTATAGACCAAAATTAGGAGCTGAAACTTGGATTTGTAATATTTATTCATATGGTAGGTCAGACAGGCAAATATTTTGAACACGAATTTAAAAGAAATCAAGTTTAAAAATAGCATTTATATATAAATTGAAAGAAAATCCAAACAGATCTTAAATTCAACTAAAGTAGCACAGAAATACTCGTAGAACCCCAACTTATAGACCAAAATTAGAAGTAGAAACTTTCATTTGAAAAATTACTATATATTAGGCAAATATTTTGAACACAAATTTGTCGAATTCTGACAACTACAGTTTAGGAATATAAAAATAAACTTAGGAAAGACATTATCCACAAAAGCAATTCACTATTCGCACGCCACAAACCGTATACCAATTCGTTTTGGCCCTTTTAGAGTGCTTTGAACACACACTTTTTTGTTGACAAGTGCATCTGTTGGTTGGTGTCCTTTCCCCACTCACCTGATGGCGTCATGGGTGTATTGCATTTTAGCTCAGAGCTGCCGGTGCTGCTGGCCGAGTTGCCGGAGCTGCCGCTTCCACTGCTGCTATTTGATTTGGTCGATGAGCCCCGCTCATTGCCGCTGCTGCTGTTGTTCGTTGAAGAGGAGACTGGTGAGCCGATGTTGTTGTTGTTGTTGTTATTGTTATTGCCATTGGCTGTTGCCACACTTGTTTTATCGTTCAAATGGTTGTTGTGCGCATCTAGGCATCGTCCAGTACGGGACGAGCCACGGACGCCATTGTTGCCGTTGCATAGTTGTGGGAGATCGAGACGCGATGTGGGCAAACGGACATCGCGTCGCAGCTTCTCGTTGTCGAGCTGTATCTGTAGAATACACAGAAAATACATTTCATTTACTTGTTATTGCCAATTTATTTATTCCTTAAACGTATTACACATTTAGTTTCACAATTTAACGTTGCATGCTTTTATTTTTTTTTTATTTTCGTTTTTCTAAACTCCTAAAATGTTAATCCTAATCCAAAAATGTGTATTATGTGACAGCAAAATTTTTAAATTGCTTCTTTTTTTAAAAAAGCAAAACACAAATAAAAACAATTGTTTGATTGTTTTTCTAAATGATGTGTTAAATAAATAAATTTTTAATTTTTTATTAATCTTTCTAGATTTAGGTTTCAAACTTACAAGTATTTTGGACGTTTTAAATTCCTTAACACATTATTGTTTTGTACTTATTTAAATATTTAATATTTATGTTAAATATATATTATATTATTTATATTTATATTTAAATATAAGTTATTTTAATGGTAAAATGTCTACTGTGTCTTCTAATTGTTTCTACATTTCGTGTGTTTCTATTAAAAATTTCCAACTCACCGGCATTTCGCATCGATCCAACATTATTGCTCTGTGTGTCAATTTTTGAACTTTTGTCGAAGTTGGTCTTCTACCGCTGCTTCGGTTGTGGTTACCAGAACCGTATAAATAATTATTATTGATAAGTTTCCGGGTAATGTGACGTCGACGCACACATTTGCATTTATTTAATTATTATTGCGTCTGGGCAACTGAAAGAAGAACGAAAAAAGAGACAAGATATTTATAAGTTTCAATATAAAACTTCTTAATGATGAATGTCAAATATATATGCCCTTAAGCCCTTGACTTTAACCCTTCACTTGCCGGGGAAATGCCGGTAACTAACCGCAACAAAAACAACAGCTATAGCAATAGCAACAACAAATGAAAACAAAACACCAGGCGCATTCAAAGTACTCCCAATAAATAAAAAGGTAAACAGCATAAACAAGAAAATGCCACCACAACTTAACACGCCCCCAAAATGAAGAAGTGGACCCCACCAGCCGCTCGCCCATATGTCAAGACAGCGCTAACTGAAGCCCGAAGACCAACTCAAATGCCAGTCAGTGTATGTTAACGGATTTCATTGTCAAGGCGGAGGCCGCGACGACAACGATGTCGGCAAATCATCAAAAGGCCAAAACTTTATTAATATTACCATACGAAACAATTTGTGAGGGTCGTTTCGGATTCTAGGCTCTCGCCCAGTGCACCTGCTGGTGGCTGGTTGATGACAGACGGAAAAAGACAGAAACTTCAAAACCAAAGTCATGGCCAATTATTAGCTTTTTGTGTGCCATTCGTTTCTGCATTTCTGTTGCCAATGGTATAGAGGGCTGATTTATGAATGGGTGGGCGCTCGGTCGCACTCAACATGCATAATAACGTTAACCCTTCCTTCTACTTCTACTTCTTCTTCTTCTTGGGTAGTTTTTCGTCTATTTAGGGTGAGTGCAACAAAAAGTTTGGTCTGTTGGAGAAGCTAGTTTATGAAAAAAGGGAATGCACTGCGATAAATGTGGCAAGCAGCTTACATATGCGGAAGAAGCACACAAATTTTGACAGGAGATGTTTCCAATTCGTTTATAAAGAAGCGTTTTTAAATACTTTCGAATTCCAGCCATATAAGGCTTTGTAGCAATTATGCAGAAACATCGATAGCTAGAGCAAATGAATCTTGAATTTTGGCTATTGGCATTACCAATTTAATTATTTGATACAAAAGCAATATTTTATTATAATTACGTTGATGCTGCCGCCGTTCATTTCTCGATAATCTTCGATATCGCCTCTCTTCGCTATCGATCTCGCTTTCCAACAAACCTATTTTGGCGTTGCCACAGGATTCAACAAGCAGGAGCTATGCAGAAAAATCGATAGATCGATTGAACAAATCTTCAATTCAACAACTAGCAGTTATGCAGAAACATCGATAGATCGATTTAACAAATCCTCAATTCAACAGCCAGCAGTTATGCAGAAACATCGATAGATGGAACAAAACGAAAATTAAGATTGTTGAAAGTGATATTTAACTTGATTTGCAGTGTACTTGAGTTTTTGTTAATACTGTACCTAAGCTTTCCCCATTAATACCTAAGGAGTTTCAGAAGTCAATTAAATTTTGTTATAACTAAAGATATGCTCTCTTGGTATAGAGGTTTCATCGACATGTTACCTGTTTTTTAGTTAAAATTTGGCCTTAGATCTAGTAGAACCTCATTTCGTGTTTGTCAATAATTGAGTAATCGATAAGCAATTTGTGCCTTTGCATCCCTAGTGTCAGTTTTTGTCTCTCTCCTCCCCTGGCTATTGAATTGTATGGAAGCACACCGTTTTGTTAACGTAAAGCGCATAAAATAAATCGCCTACACCGATTCTCGGGCATTATTACCCTTTAACAACAATATTCAAAGTAATTCTTTTTTTTACCAAGCATTTTTTATTCAAAGAACTCGATTTGCATTGCATTTTCTCTCAGTGCCCTTTAAAGGGTTCCGTCTTTTTTCCGCCACATCGACAAATGTGCAGGTAGGCCTTCGTAGCGACTCGAATTTTGTTTAGCTTCATCCATGTTTAACCGTTTTCTACATATTTTCATTTTTATTATTTTTGAGGTTGTAAAAATTCATCGTCGTTTAAAACTTTTCTGTCATAAAATGATAATTTACAGCATTCGTTTCCTTCCTTTATATCAAGCTGACAGTTGTGTGGAGAAGGCGTGCTTTTCTGAAAGTATTTTGCCTCTTATACTATTTTCTTCCTTCCTTTTATTGTCTGTCGGTTATGTCGTTAGCTGCGCTTCCCTTCACCCTTCTGTTCACCTTTATTGTCGAATGCGGCGGCTGAAGTTTACAGTTGACTTTTAACTTTGGCAACGACAACAACAGTCGTCAGTTCATCATTATGTGCACTTCTTTGGGTTGCCATTTGTATACGTTTTTATTTTTTCGCAATTGCTGTAGAAAGCACAGTGTTGGCCAACATAGAGACCAAAAGGCACGGATGGGTCGGGTCTCCAGTCAGGGCTTCAGTTTCATGTTGTCTGCCGTAATTTGATAAGCGAAAGTTTCTTGAACTCGCTGTACTCGAGTGTGTCGCCGCCGCCTTAAGCCGCTCACAAGGCGTTCCACAAAAAGACAACAGCTCTGAGGGTCACAAGTTATGTTCGTGTGTGTGTGTGTGTGTGAGTGCGGCCTATTTTAAATAAAAAATCTATTGGCATAGGCGGTGTCACCTCCAGTCATTAGCAATAACAAACAATTGCAATTTATACAACAAATTACACGCCTCAGAAATCGATATACCCGTACAAACGAGTCTCTATTATTGCGTCAATTCGGGCGGCGACTTTGAGTCACTTTTTACATTGTTTTCAATTGAGGGAATGGGCAAAATCTTTGACTGTGATTTGAACTTGTATCGACACCCACCAACAAACACTTAAGTGTTTTCTGCAATTTCTATTCGACTGACATTGAATATCAAATGCCAGTCTCAATGATATCGGTACAAGTAGTTTTTGGAATACACATGTTTATGCATTTTTGAGTCGCAGACGAAGATGTGTCGGCGTTAACTTATTTATACATATATTTTTTTTTCAATTTATATTTGACATTGAGTTTAACTTGTCGCCTAATTATGCAAACACTCATTGGTATATGAATAAGAATAGAGAAGTACATATGTATATGGAATAAATACATAGATTGAATTCAAATAATTTTGATCAGAAACAAAACTGAGAAATGTAATTCTTTGAAGCTTATTTAGATTTATGTGCAAACAAAAATAATATACTTTTTAAAACAATTATTCAAAAAGTATTTCATATTATTTTCAAGGCTTGTAATTTTTTATTTATTTCAATTATTTATTCAACTTTTTATTTATTTAAGGCTTTTTATTTTGTCTTCTTTATGAGAAAAAAATAACATCTCTTTGAGATATTTTTTAAAATTTATATTTGACATTGAGATTAAATAGACTGAATTTGAGTTATGAGTTATGAGCTTATTTAGATTTACAAGCAAGGCTAAATAATATACTTTGTAAAACACCTATGCAAAAATTATGTCATATTGTTTTCCAAGTTTTGTAATTTTTTATTTATTTCAATTATTTGTTTAACTATTTATTTAATAAGGGCTTTTTATTTTCTTCTGCTTTATGAGATTTTTTTCAATTTATATTTAACATTGATTTTAATTTGTTGCCTAATTTTGCAAACACCCATTCGCGTTAGAAATTAGAAATAAGTAGTATTTGGAATAAATAGATTGAATTTTAATATTTTTGATGAGAAATGTAATTACATTGAAGCCTATTTAGATTAACAAGTAAAGCTAAATTACATAATTCTACAAACACTTGTGCAAAAAGTATTTCCAAGTTTATCATTTTTCCCCTTTTTAAATTAAAACGAGAATTTGTGTAGGAAGCCTCTTATTTTTTCTGCTTTAAAGAAAGAAAAAGCAAAACCCCTCTTGCAGATATACTTACAATTTGGACGATTTGTTATGCAACTTTTTTCCTGTCCGACCATTGTTTTACAGACCCCGTTCCTAAACAACAGCAGTACTGTGGACATAATTATATGATTTCGTTCATTGCATAACCATTTCATTGTAACTCTAAACTGACCCGCACTATTAAAACTAAATATTAAGCCATTAATTTCAAATTTTCGCGCCAAGTGGCCAACACGCCTAGCGAAATGCGGCAACAACAACAAAAACAGAAAAAACAGAAAAAGCCAAAAGCAAATTGGCCACTCAACGTAATTGAGTCGCACACAAATTTGCAAGTCTGAGCTTGAAATTAGTTAAATAAAATGCAAAAGAAAAAGCCACTTTAATGTCAAAAGGCGCAAAAGCAATAAAAATGTCAAGAAATTTAACTGCATAATTTGTCAATTTTTTACGATTTATTTTGACAGGCGCGAGAAAATCATTTCAATCAAGCACCATCGCCAGCTAAAAAAGCGAAGAAATATTGTGCATAATTTTTCAAGTGCATTTCATTGTTTTATTTATATACCGTATATTTTTTTATAAATGTCAATTGAAGCCGCTGTTCGTGGTGCTGGCTCGTCATGTTTCTTTTTCATGCAGCAATAAGAAGAGAAGCGGAAAAAAAAGAAGAAAAACTAAAAACAAAACGTGACATTTTGCCGTTGACTTTTGACATCTGCCATCATTTTGTGCTGCTGCTGATCTGTGCGCGAGTTATGTAAATAGTCTCTTTATATTCATTATTTTACATGCACTTTAGTAAAAATAAAAACAAATTGAAACCTTCGACAGCAAATGTCAGAAACGTAGTATGAAGCACTTTTGAAGGAGTGTTCCCAATCGCTGTGGAAACTGAACTTTTGACCACAACGACAAGTGTCAGCTCCCTACACACACACACAAACACACACCCAAAGCTGTGTTAAATGTCAGCCAAGTGACAACTATTGCCAAGTTCTGACAAAGCTCTGCGCAGCTCATTTTTATGCAAGAACTCTACAACTCGGCATTGCCTCCTCTTTGATTTATTGATGAGTGCGAGAGTACATTCCCCTTTGAAATGTTGCGCCTCAATTGACGGCAAAAGTCAATCACGTAGTACATGAGGCCAACAACTTTACTTACATTACATAGCATTAATAATTCAAATCTCTTTGCTATACGAGTAGCGGCATGCCACATGTGTCTGA